TTTTGAAATTTTTCTTTTTGCAACGAAATAAAGTAAAAATAGTTAAAATAGTTATACTAGACCCAATTTCACATATTCACGCTAACAATGTGAAAATCCTCGGGGAGGGTCAAAAATCACGTGCTTACACCATCTACCACTAAAGCGAGCGAGATGAGGTGGAGGTCCTATCGGAGGACATCTCGCTCGGTAAAGAGTGGGTGATGAAGGTGAACGTAGGGATGGATACCATGGAGATCTTTGGCCAACGCTTGGGGAAGGTGAAAAGCACCCTTAGGGTTCCTGAAGGACACACTCTTGAGGAGATTGAGAGTATCTGAACTGACTTAGAGGGATGTATACAGATTGAGATGAAGCTAAGGCAATTCATCACTACCTTGGAATGCAGACTCATGGAGGCCTTGAGTACTATCGATGCAATGAAGGCAAAGTTAGAGTCACTCGAGGAGCATGTTGATACTGGCATGATCGAGGCAGACAATAATGTTGTTGCAACGATGGAAGCCAAGGTCGAGGCTCCCAAGCCACCGGTATTCAAAGGTGTTCGTGATGCACAAGAAGTGAAAAACTTTCTTCGGCACATGGAGAACTATTTCAAGCACAACAAAATGAGGGATGACAAGGCTAAGATCAACATCGCTGTATTGTACCTCTTAGAGATTGCCACATTATGGTAGCGTCAAAAGTGTGTTGACATGGAGTAGGAGATATGCAAGATTGAGATGTGGGAGCAGTTCAAGATTGAGTTGAAGAAGCAATTCTACCCAGTGAATGTGGTGTATGAAGCTAGGTGGAAGTTAAGGGAGCTTCGATAGACAGCCACAATTTAGGAGTGTATGCGCGAGTTCACTACCTTAATGTTGTAAATCTCGTCATTATCCGAGGAAGATTTACTCTTCTACTTCATGGATGGATTGAAAAATTAGGCAAAGTAGGAGTTAAGAAGATATCAAGTAGCCAACATGGATGAGGCCATAGCGGTAACCGAGTTGCTCGTTAACTTCAATGGAGTCTACTAAGTCCAAAGAAGGCAATGTCGAGAGAGGTGGGGGAGATCATGATAAAGACAACAGGAAAGGCATAGCCTAGATACACAAGGGCAATGGTAAGGAGCCATCCCATAAATGGGTCCAAGAGAAATGGGAAGGGGCCGAAAAATGGTAGCAAGTACGTGCCTAAGGCAGAGTGCTATTTCTGTAAAGAATCACATTAGGCAAGTGAATGTCTAGAGTTGGAAAAGCTTGCAGAAATGATCTGGAACTTTGCTCAGGCACACAAGGGTGACACATGAGGGACCACCTACGTTGGGGGGATGGGCTTTGAATCTAAGACGAAAGTAGGGGATTCCAAAGCCTATCTTGGCGCCATACAAATAGAGCATGGTGGCAACAAGAAAAGTTGGACGGACATAGTTGAAGAGAATGGCGAGTTACAAAGTGATGCCATGTTATCGGACTTAGTCGATGCACCAAGCAGATGGATCAAGTTTGCTAGCAAGACTGGGACCGTAGTGGGTAGCCAAATAGGAAGTAGAAGCATAGAACCGATGCTTGAGAAGTTGCTAGAGTTGGTTGAGTCATGGGGAGATTCGGGCCAAGAGCAAGGATAGACATTTGATGGACGGAGGATCGATGCCATCATTACTAGCCGTCCAAAGTACAAACGAGGTAAGAAGAAATGTGACCAGTACCTTGTGACATGGGAAGGCGAACCACTCCATAGAGCATCATGGCTAATGGACAAAGATCTCCGACGACACCAAAGCGAGGTGCGTACGTACTTATCGATGCTTTATGTCGAGGGCGACAAAAAATTGGGTGGGGGAGAGTGTCATGGCCCGCCACATCATCATGCCACATAGGTGCAACTTGGCAATTATTTTTGCCATATGGAAAGCTTACATATGAAATAGACTAGCACATGTGAGAAGATTCTAGAGAAATATGGAGATTTCTCATGAAAGACCTTAGAACCCTATTGAATTGCTAGAAAAGTCTTTAGAAGATTCTAGCTATGTAGAAAATTTTAGAGAAGGGATTTACTTGTAAATAATAAGGGCCATGTGTAATAATTATTATTTACTCACTAGTCCTTAGGAGACTAGTATATAAAGGAGGTTATTCATTTATAACTACCCAAACAAAACAATCAACTTTTCTCTAATACAAAAGCTTTCTTTGACCGTTCTTCTTTGTTTTAATATTTCTTTAGTGATTTTTAGTGTAATAAGACTAAGAGTAACTTGACATAACAAGATGGTAACCAAGTTGCACAAGATTATGAGTGTATCGCATGGAACGTAGTTTAAGTCTACCGACGGGCGCTTATAGCTGATTAATTGATACAAAGAATTCATAAGAATGGCAGGGAAAGGAGACAACTTTGGTCAAGTCAAGTGGATACATTTTAACAATAGATAGTACAAAAACGGTAAGATATGTCCAAATTCCAAAGTACTAGCGTGTTATACAGGATGAGAAGCTGACACATTCTAAGCCTTCTTCTCCAACTTCACGCCTCTCCGTTGGCAAACACAGCCTTACCTTTAAGCTGGACAAAACCAAATCTTGAAAACAAAAGTCTGGAAAAATGTGTGAGTCACTTTATTATATTCATACTCATTCGATGCCTATAAAGTTGATAGTCATAGAACTTATAACAGTATTCATTAAGTAATCCTCAACAAATCAGTTCTCATTAATTGCATTTCCGTATCCCAGTGCGCTGCCCATTGCTTCACTTTTCTGCAGGATAGTGCACTTATTTCTTCTGGTAGCCTCCAACTGTTTGAAGAAATGCCTGAACGATGGTTTCAGTCATTTCGACACCTACCCATTTTTCAATTCCTCCTTTTTTCAACACCCATTTGAGCTTTTCACCTATTCCTACTATAATGTTCGTTATAACCCCCGCAAAAAAACTTCACTGCCGCAGAAATGCTGCGATTTTTAACCAAGAAATGGGGTTCTTTCGGCGTTTTAAGCTTAGCAAGGGAAGAGCTGAGGATAGTGCATACTGCTGGTGTAGGAAAGGGCTAGGAAGTGAAGGGGAAATGGAGCTGGAAGAAGAGATTTTGGCTTTTATGGAGATATCTGAGAACCCAAATGCTTTTCCGACAAGGAAAGAGTTGGAAGAAGCTGGAAGAGTGGATTTGGTGGAGGCTATAAAGAATAGAGGAGGGTGGTTTTCTTTTGGTTGGGACTCCGAGGATGATGACACTTGCACTATGGACGTTAATGAAGTTGAGACTGTGGAAATGGATTTTGACATTGAGGAGTTTCAAAGGAGAGTCAACAGTTGTCAAGAAAGTGATTCATTACATGGGAATGAAGCTCATTTTCCTGTTTCGGGATCTTCTAGTTCTTCATTTGGGAATTCTTCTCAGCCCACCTCGTCCTCTGGTAGATCGTTGTGAGGTTCCTTATAGTGAAATGTGCTTTCTTTTATTTATTTATTTGCTTTAGTTTTGCTAGTAAACGCTATATGGGCCTTTCCTGCATGAATTCGGATTAGTTGGGCAGTGGACTCTGGATACTAGATGCTTAACTTTTATGTATGTTCCATCTTGTGGATATAGAATTGTGCTTGTTATGTCAGTTTGCAACATTTACTAAATCCTATATGAGATACATGATTCTTTGCTTCGATTCAACTTTTTTCATTGGGCACTGGCTTTAGCATCTGCGGATCGCATGTAAACAAAAGCAAAAGCTTCCTTCCTCCCACTCACTGTTCCCGCCTAGCTCCAAAGTGACTTAGTAAATGTTGTAGCTTATAGTTACAATCAGCTAACTCATTTGAAGAATGAAGTTGGTGGGATTAAAGAGTGAAGTGAAGTCTAGCTTGGTAGGTGGTACCACTAGTAACAAGAGCGCGAAAGAGAAAACTCAGGAGGACCAAAAATAAAAAAAGACAAAGCCTATTTCTTAGTGATTATCTGCACCTATTTATCTCCTAGCTATTCATTACGGGTTCTATTGAATTGTGTGAAAAATCATTCATTGAGTATCTTCATTTTTTCTTTCCTCTCCCTTCCCAACAGGGAAATTGTAGCAGAGGAAGATAGCGGGATTGAAGGGATATTGAGTCGACTAGAGAAAGAGAGGAACTCGTCTCTTGGAATTGATCTGGGAAAACACGGACATAGTTCTCATGCTTCAAGTAGGGACAACATAGATGACAGAAGCTTTGGAACCACTGATGCAGGTAAGTTTTTTAATCAGAAAGCGGATGAAATGTTTTTTTTTTTGAGAAGGAAAAAGCTGATGACATGTTATCAGCAAAATGGTTGAAAAATCTATTAGTCACTGCATTGGAGTGCTGTTTAATCATATAGCTTTTGTGTACTAAATCTTTGATATCTTTAAAGTTTCTTGAAATCCCCTTATAAAAAAAAAAAGAATTCTTGAAATCTGATAGTACTATTTACCTAAACTTTTTGAACTGAAAATATTTATTCCTGAGTAGTCTGTCTGTAAACAGTTAAATTCTGAGTCATGAGATGTCATGTCTTTTACATTGTAAAAGATAGGACTGACCTAGGAAAAAATGGTAGCCTCAATAAAGGTATCCCCATGAAAGACATTCGAAGGGATTCAGATGAGGAGCTTAACCATAGCTTTTCACCACCCATGTGGAGAAAATGGAGCATGCAACATGCAGACCTTCAGGATATAGAGTTTGAAGGTATTCTCTTTCATGCGTCTAATATTGTGTATAGATTGTAAACTCTCTTCAGTGCTGCTATGCACAGCTGGTGAGGTTGCTCTAGGTAAAAGTTCGATTGAAGGTAAGAGCGAAGCTGCAGGAGATGATCTAGTTAATATCACGGGGAGTAGAACCGAAGCTTTACGAAGATGGAAAAATGAAAACCACAACGAGATAAGCACCCGGCTTCAGCATTTAGAACTTGAGCTATCCTTGACACTGCACTCGTTGAAATCCAAAAGCAAGGAGTTAAATTTGAAGGAGGTAGAAATCTGTATCTTTAGTTTCTCAAAATTGCTAATGACTGTTTTCCTAGCATCATTATTCTTCTTATAAAAATAATGGATTAGCTTCCTATGTTGTCTCGGTGATGAATATTCCTCCAAAAAAAGTGGTAACTTTATTTTGTTGAATAGATGTTCGACAACAAATTTGCAGAGTTAGTGTTCTGTGTCAATAAATTTTTTGATCATGACTCGTTTATAAACATGACATAATCATGTTAAACCAAACATTTTCATCACGTTCCCGAACACTTTTTGCTGACATCTTTGGAATTTAGACTCAATACCTAAAGTTGCTTCCTTCGACTTAAAAAAGCTGAAAATAGAACTGTTAAGACAAAGAAAATGGTTAAGACCTAAATAAATAAATAAATAAATAAATAAAGTGTCCTCTCTCAATATATACCGTAATCTTTTAATTGAGGGTTCAAAATTTTTAACATGGTATCTGAGCAAGTAGTGGTCCTTGGTTCAAGTCTCGCCGCCAACCATTAACAAATAGCATTTCCAAGTGCTTGACTCAGGAAAAATAATTAGGACCACAATGTGAAAGGCTTTGTTAAGACAAAATTAAGTAAATAAAAGTGTGTCCCGCACTAATTTAAGCTTTTGGATTTGGTAATAACACAATTCAGGAATTTGTTACCCTTTCTAAAAAAAAAGAACACAATTCAGGAAAGAAGAAAAGAGAACAGAACATGAGCTAAAAGGAACTATATTGCAAAATATTTTCTTCAACGCTTCTGTCAAAAAGAAGAAATGCTTCAATTTTCACTGTAAAGACATTTCCATTGGAAACGAAATTCTGCTAATTGGAAACGAAGTTCTGCTCACTATATATATTTTTCTGCTAACTATTTATTGTTTAATGTGATAGTGCTAATATTATTAAGTAACTTCTCACTTTCTTCCTTAGGTTCTTGGAAGCTCTCCAAGTGATTTGCAAAGGCTTTCTGATGCATGGGAATTCCAGGAGAATGAATTCATGAATGCCCGGGAGAGATTGAGGTCGATACGTGCAAAGCTGGCTGTGCTTGAGGGGAAAATGACACTTGCGATAATGTGTGGTCACTTCTCATTCATTTAAAAATAGATACTTTAGACTAGATACCTTAACCAAAACTGAGTTTTCCTACCATATATTTTCAGTGATGCACAGAAGATATTAGAAGAGAAGCAGGAGAGGATTGATAGTGCTAGTAAAGCTTTGCAGATTCTTCGTACTGCTCGCATTGTTTGGACCAACTCCGCCTCAGAGGTTCTTCTAGCAGGTTCTTTTGATGGATGGACAACTCAGGTTTCATCTTGCTTCCACATCAATAATAGGAAATAGGAGACAGTGCTTAACTGTTAAAAGGTCAAGCATAATTTCGTGTAATGTGATTGTCTATACCAACTTAATCTTATTGTTGTTGTTTAGGGTGAATATGATGTCTTATCAATGATTACAGTAAGGACATCCTCTTCTGCATGGTTTAGTGTTGAAGTGTCATCAATAGAGTCAACATCTAGCTATTCTTGATTTCTTGTGGCCAATATGAAAGTAGTTCACAACTTAGTCATGTTTGGCTAGAGCAGGAAAATAAAAGATTCTCTTTTAGGGGGTACACCCAATTAATATCCAGTGCAATATGCTTTGCTGACTTGACTCGTGTAAATTGCATGACATTTTGCCTTCACAATCTTTTCTTTTCTCTTCTCTTTTGATTGTGTTGGGATCCAGATGGGGTTTTGGAGAAGGGCTATGGATCTAATCACAATAATATGTGATCACTTATATTCCTGTTATTTGCTTCATTTTCAAATTTTATTTAGTAAACTACATATTATTTAGAATTTGTACAGCAAAAATCAGAATTTGCTCAACTTACTAGTGCAAATAAGATAAAAATGCGTCAGTGAAATGGAGACTTTAGAAGCCAAGGTGCACTTCTTTAATCCTTGCTGAGAACTTCAGAAGATGGTCTACCAGGGTTTACCCTTTTTATTTCCCGGAAAGTCACTTGGCATTTAGGAAAGAAATTAGATAACAACATTGCTGTACCCTTTTTATTTCCCGGAAAGTCACTTGGCATTTAGGAGAGAAATTAGATAACAACATTGCTGTACTTGAGTTATAGAGTTCCATGTACCATCAAGTAGATTTCTCTAAAGCTGTTCCTAAAGCATCAAATGCCTTGAAAAATGGCATGTCAACAGTCTCTTAATAATGAAACCTGCACATTTCTATTTCTTCCCCTAAAAGGCCTTGTATCAAGAACGTGAGGGACTTTGTGATGTTGATTTCAAGGGGCATCTTGTCCTTGACTAGCAGCTTGATGGGATGTATTTAAATGCAGAGAAAGATGGAAAAATCACGCGGGGATGTCTTTTCTGTAAGCCTAAAGCTGTATCCAGGCACATATGAGGTGGGTTTTATTGATTGCAACGAATTTGATATCATACTTTGTTATCCTGTGCTGTACCGAGCCTCTCATTTCTGTTTGTGCAGATCAAGTTCATTGTTGACGGCAAATGGAAGATTGATCCTTTGAGGCCCACTGTTCACAACAACGGACATGAAAACAATCTTCTCATTATTACATAAGAGCATGTCTCTGAATGATGCACGATTGCAGGAATTCAAGATGAACTCGAGGATCGTAAAGCTGATTCAGGAATAAGTTTCGAGAGGTCAGCTAGAAATGAAAACCACAGAAGAGAAAAGGGAAGACAGAAGATTTAGGATAGAAGTATATATTTCATTGATGATTCTGAATATGTGTTACAGATGTATTTATATCAATTAAATTGTATCATGAGTTCCAATCCTACTCCTACTGACAGATTCTCTCATTAACAGAAGTTAGTTATTGTAACTAACTCTAACAACTTTTTGGACTGCTAACTAGCTGTTCATTTCTTAACTATCTACTCGACTCCTTTTCAATAACTTGTATCAGTACTCCCCTCAAATAGAAGATCCTTGTCCACAAGGATCAAACAAGGGAAACCGAGTTTGTAAAACAGTGACAAGTTCCCAAGTAGCAGCATCAACAGGCAATTCTTGCCATTTTGACTAAAACCCGTGCCACAACTTTATTGCCTCCTTTTANGGGGTGTTAGGAGATTTGTGAAGGGACTTCATAACATTTTTTCAGTATCGACACATGAACTATAAGGTGAATTTTTACTCTTGCAGGTAGTAAAAGGGTATAGGCAACTGGACCATCCGCTTGATAATATGAAATGGACCATAATACTTAGGGTTGGACCTTTAAGTAAACCCAATCCCAAACTGCAAACTGCCTGTCACTTTTATGAGCTGCTTGTTACTTCATCCTGAGTTGTGCTCTCCTTAAGTGGTATTTAAGCAGTTGTAGTTTCAGTTCCCTATTTATCCAAGTGTTGTCAACTTCACCTGAAGCTGATTCTCCAAGTAAATAAGGTAGATGTAAGGGTGGTGGCCGGCCATACAATGCTTCATAAGGAGTAGTTTGGATAGCTGAATGGAAGGAATTATTGTACCAGTACTCAACCATAGGCAAGCATGAGTACCAATTGGCAGCATCCTCATTACAATAGCATCTTAAGTACGTTTCATGGCTTCTGCAGCACCTCAGTTTGTCCATCAGATTGAGGGTGATATGCTGATGAGGTGTGTAGTTGTACCCCCTATAGTGTAAAGAGCTCCTGCCAGAAAGAACTCAAGAAGACAACATGTGTGTCACTAGTAATAGTATCAGGCATCCCATGTAATTTGACCACTATGTTTAGGAAGACCTTAGCAACTGACTGAGCAGTGTAAGGGTGTTTTAATGGAATAAAATAGCCATACTTACTCAGCCTATCGACCACTACTAAGATGACCCCAAAGTCATTTGATTTAGGCAGGCCATCAATAAAGTCTATGTTGATATATGACCATACCACATCTGGGATTGGTAGTGGCTGCAATAGACTTGGTCTGATTTTTCTTTTGGCAAACATCACATTTCTGGATAAATTTCTTTAATTCCTTTCTCATATTTTTCCAATAAAACAGTGTTACCAACCTTTTTAATGTAGCTTCAACCCCTGAGTGACCACCTTGAGGTGCAGCATGCCACAATGTCTTCTTTTAGTTCTGGCACCTCGCCAACTACCAGCCTTCCTTTCCTCCTCAACTGTCCTTGAATCCAAGTGAATTGTTTGTGAGTAGTAGGGTCCATTTGGAGTCCTTCAATATGTTGCTTAAGCTCCCGATCTGAGTTCCAGCTAGAAGCTATGGCTTGGAAGAGATCAGTGTTGTGGGGTGAGATGATCAATGCTAACAATTCAGCTCAGGTAACCCTTGAGAGTGCATCGGCTACCTTGTTTTTCACTCCTTTCTTGTACTCTATTTTTTTTTTCCGCGATCCGCTAGGCAAGCGCCTAGGGCTAGTTTTTTATTAATAAAAAGAAAAAAAAATACAACAATTAGGAATAGTACAAATAAGGGGGACAATAGCACCGGTATTGTTACCCATATGCCTTGGCTATATAATCACTCCTCTGCGCCTCACAAAGCCTATGGCAGCCTCATGTAGAGGATTCATGGTACAGCTGCCTGCAAAGTCTCACGAGGGCATATAATCTCATAGCCGTGCGGATAATTTCCAAAGGCATAGGACCAAGGTAACACAAACCGGGCTAGACCTTATCTTACTAATCCTATTGAGGCGTAAAATAGCCTCACCTACTAGCATGCATGAAAAAAATAAGAACTGGAGAGTATCAAATATTCAATGATCATCACAGAGTTTATAACATACTCTGTGATGATATTACAAATGAGTATACTAACATAATGGTAGAATAAAATGAAGAAGGAATTAAATTGTTGTCCTTTCTTGCCCAAACTTGTAAATTCTTCAATTTGTAATTCTTTGTCATCACTGTCCCAACTCTTCAAAATGTCTTCAAAAATCATGACTTCTTTGTTGAACGGTTTGACCTCGTTGAGGTAGTTGTGGCAGCCTTCTTTTCTTTGGCAACTCTCATTGGAGGTCGCCTAACATTAAAAAAATCACTGACCTTCTCGTCCCAACTATTTTTCTTTGTATGTGCTTTCATTATTTTGCCGCTATGCATAGGAGATAAATCACCTTGTTTTGCTGCAT